CGAGTCACGTCCCCTCACACACTGAGTTGGGAAATATCAAATAAAGGTAGAAAGGCCAAATTAAACAGAGATGAGGCCAGATAAACCTGCTTTGTCACCGGTCAGTGGACTCTGAGCACTGTAAAAACATGCCCACATTTCTGTGTGTTACGGTAGAAGCTGTACTGCCACCCCTTACTAGAAATCTAAACAACATACTCAGAATTAAAGGGCCATTCTGGCTTTTTTGTCACTTTAATATAACCTGCAGGTTCAGGTGAAAATGATTCTTTTATGACACTTTCACTGATGCAATGCAACCTTGTTTCCCACTGAACCAAAGAAGTTGACGCTTACACCGTCGCTGTCCTGGGGAAAACCTGAGCCAGTAAAAACAAGCACTTCACTTTTTCTTGAAGAAGTATAAAAGTTTTCTGAACGCATGAAGAAACTCTTCATTCTTCAGCTTATCAAAAATATTCAAAAGTGCTAAACATAGAGATGAACAACATGGAAAAAGTGAAGGAGCCATTTAAATTGGTTAAATATTCTTTTATTACTGGGAACTTGGCTCTGTTCATATGCTGATTTCCACAACGCTGTACACAAATGTGTTGAGCTCAGTTACAACAAACATTTATTAGAGCTGATTAAGTGTACTAACCGAACACCATTTTATTATAATTAGTAATAAATGACATCATTCTGTACAGGAACTTCACAGAAACAGACCTGTGAAAAAAATAAAACCTGAAATCATGGAAAAATCAGAATTAAATAAAAAAATAGATGCTGACTCTTTAAAAATAACAGCAGAAGCTCCGAGTCGAGCGGCTACAACCTTCAGACAACTGAGCGCAAACTGAAGGAAAATCAGAAATGTGGACTCCCTCAGAGGTCACAGGTCGAAGGAAAGAGGAAAGTTCTTCTTCTACAGTTTCAGTGAAGACACAGGAACAGCAGTGTAATGCAACTTTAGCTCAGTCTGTGTTTATCTGAGGAGAAACTGACCTCAGATCAGCTTACATCTCACTACAGCTACTATACAAGCTTCATCATGTGTCTGACAGCAGGATGAAGAGTATGTGCTTTACACAGAAAAGATGAAATATAAGGAAACATCAGAATAAAAGCACCAGAGAACTGCATGCATGAGGATCCACTTTCACGTTGTAATTTGAAAAGTACCTGGGGAGATTTCCCCTGATGCTCTTGTGTGTTGTCTTATTTAGATTATGATAGATGCATTTACAGCTCACTGACTGTGCTGCTTGTAGGACTTGAGCCTGGTCTGGTGTGTCAGCTATCTCTAAGCTGTGTGCTCACTTCACGAGTACATGCAGATGTCTCATACCGAGAGTCACGTACAGTGATGGGCCTGTGTAGAAAAATGATCTCTTAAGCAAAATAATATGACCTGTGACGATATCACCTGTTTCTCATCAGCAAATGAAAGAAGCATCTGAACAGCTGAAAGTGGGTCCGGGCTGCTGCAGCTTCAACAGGAGCTAACATCACTGAGAACAAGGACAAGTCTCACTTCACCAACAGCAACCTGAAAAACACGTTTACTGCTCCCAGTCCATCCTAATTTACACTTGTACCCCACTACACTGTGTTATTGTACTGCACCACATTTATCTGACAGCTGCAGTTACTCTACAGATTTAACAATAAACGCTTAGTAAATAATATGCTTTGTTTTACTGTAACTTATACTTATACTATCCAGCAGTGTACAAAATTACAGCCAAAATTATTCATCAATAAATTGATCAAAAGGAAACAAACGAGTTTAATAACCAATTAATCAAATTAGGAAAAAAATGTCAGACATGTCATGGGTTCAGCTTTTAAATGTGAAAACTGAGGACGAAGGTTTGGACAAACAAGTCATTTGAAGGACCAATCAATCAATCGGCTGATGGAAAAAAACTGTTAACTGATAAACTGTTAAAAACGAACTTCACCTCCAATACATAATACACCAGTAATAATAATCTAATGATCTAACATAATGTATTTCAGCCACACTGAGTATTTTTAATACTCTAAGTACAGTGCGCCGTTTGAATTTGCAGGACTTTTACAAGTAGTGAAGTATTTTTACAGTGTGGGATGAGTGTACATCTTTACTTAGTAAAGGAGCTGGATGTGTCCTCCAGCGTGTTAAATAAAGATCACTGTGAGTGCACATGTTTCAGCCCCTGTGATAATTATAACCACAGAGTGAGGTCAGCTGCACTCACACTAAAATCAATATTAGTCTTTCGGGAAACCAATCAACTGTTGAACCTTAACCCGATGAAACCTGCACAGTAACATCAGGTCACTTCAGTTTAAATGGGTTTTTAGCGTAAAGCTGTTTCCTCTGAGGAAACACGCAAATATAAAGTAACATGATGATTGGCCCATAATAGAATATATTATCTGTAGAGAGCTGAAACAGTCAATAAATGATTAGGACACAAAACTAAATGTCCAGGTATTCTGTTTTATTAAACACTGAAATCATGTTTTAAGCCAAAGAAATCTCTGGTTCCAGATTTTGTTATGTGGGACTTTGCTGGCTTTCTGTGTCATCAGTAAATAGAAAATTAAATATCTTTGGGTTTTGGATTGTTGGTCAGACAAAACAGGACACTGAAAGACATCTCACCTGGGTTTGGGAAACAGCGAGGGGCATTTTTCACTCTTCACTTTTATCGACTAAACAACTAATAAAGAAATAATTGTTGGATTAAGTGATAATAAAAATGATTAATGTGGATCCTGACAACTAGCAGAGCTTGTTGCTCTTCTCGGTGGTTAGAGATCCTGTCACCTGTGTAGTGTGTGGACAGGAAACAGCTACACTTAGATTTCTCTAGAACATCAGCATTAGCCAGATTACTCATCAACATTAGGAAAGTCTCTCATACCATGATTTAAAGATGGGAAACAGGAAACAAGCTGTAGTTTGGCCTATCTGGTGGTATTATCTTTGTTAGTCTTAATCACACTGCACCACAGTTAGCTTAAATAAGTTAAATTAGCTAAATAAATAAGTGTCTGAAGACACAAACAATTACTGAGGCCCAACATCTGTCAAAGCCTGCTCAACCCAATTTACTGCCATATTTGATGGTATTTTAGATACATTTACTACATTATCATTAGCGTAATATTTATCTCTGAAGTTTATTGGCAGACAACTATGGTATGTTAGCATTACTGGAATGAATCCTCTAAAAGTTGTTATTGCCGTGTTTTAGGTATGAGAAAATACCAACTACTGTTAGCCTGACTTGTAACATTAGCATTAGGTCTGTTATCTTCTTATACATGTTAAAAATATCGGTCATATAAATGTTTAAAAGAGTTAGCCTTAGCTAGTACATGTGCATTAGAACTAGCTATCTCAGGACAACCACAGTTAGCAAACCATGATTAACTTCCTTTAGTACATTCGCATTACTCATAGCATTAACTGCAATGGTGAATATTCAGAAATGCTGTTATAGCTGCAATCTAGTTATTGGAAAGCTTCCAGCTGATACACTAGTTCTAGCATTCATTCAAAGTGCTGCTGTCTTATCCAGCAGTCAGATGTGACTAGCTTGTTAGTTTTGGCTGCTGTGCTTGCATTAGTGTTAGCCACATGGGTTTTAGCCAAATTCAGAAACTGTAACTGTTATTCAGAGATGAGAAACAAACAACTAGTTTGTTAGCTTTGGCTGCTATCTGTGCATTAGTCATGTTGGTCTTTTTTCCCAATAAATGAGTTATTTGGCTAATTTGTTAGGTTATTCAGTGTTTTTCACAAAGGTAACAAAATTGACAGAATAAATACATTTTTCTGTTAACTTTCACATTGAAGACACGACGATAATGAATGAAGGAACTGCACCCGAATAGGCAGTGCACAGGCTGCTTGGCTCATACAATGAACTGAAATGTACAGTAAATGAAATTTAAACATTAAAATCAGATAAAGTTGTTCACTGTCTGGTGTTTGCTTGTTCTCAGTGAGGTTCTCACTTGTCTGCTGTTACCTTCATGCACACGTTTTTCACAGAACATGATTGTTTGTAGTGACAGGGTAAATTAACTTTAGAGCTACATCGCTTTTGCAACGTGAAAACCTCCTAACTCCAGTGTGCTGAGTAGACAGGCCTATGAGGACTTGGGAGGTTTTCACAGGACATCAGTTTCTGTTATTTGCAGGTTGGAGTAACAGTGCTGTGGAGGTAGACAGAGACTGACATCATCAGCAGACACACAGTGGACTACAGTTCCCAGCATGCTCAGTGGGCGGGGCAGAGCATGTGGTTCAGGAAGTGCCAGATATTCTCTACTGTTTAAAATAATGATGCATTCAAATTATTATTTGCTTGTAAGAGTTTATCCATTTGAGGGGAATTTTATGTTTCTGTTTACACCCTAATTCAATGTTTTTAAGATGATGAATGCTCAATTTTAAATTTGACCATTTTCAGGCCAAACTGTTGAGTAAAAATTAAAATTAAATATTCCCAAAATATTTGTGATCCAGTGCAGAAAAGTCTTTGAAACAACATTTAGAGCTTCACAAAGGAAGATAAACTTTACAGAAAATGTAACTTAATAAATTGATAAATATCATGTCTAATAATCTGATCTACAAGGTGTTTTTTTGGTGACAGGGTTGTATGGTTGGAGTCTGGACTCACGGCCTTGGTATTAATGACTATTTGCTTCACCCCTGAGGACACAATACATTTTTTGGACCACAAACATATTTCACTAATTAGTAAGATCTGTTATTGCATAATAACATTTCTGAAATTTATAATGCTTAATTTTCAGTTTTTCTTTACATCTTGAAGCCTTTGCAGAAAAGATGGCAATACATGAATAAGATAAAACAATTCTTTATCTTTATCAGTCTATCTTACTGCTGCTAGGATTACTGGATGCGTACTGTCTAAAATGTTTAGCTTTTATAAATTGTATAAAACTGTATGACACTGCAGTAGTTTTTATCAGTGACAATACTTGTAGTTAAAAGTGTCCTTATCAGTTTAAAACTACACTTTATTGTGGAATAAACATTTTACTAACGAGTTTCCTGAATCACTGAACGAAAGTGTGAACTGAGTTCCTTTGAGACAAATCACATTTCTGTTTAACAGCTCTAAAGACTACATTACCCATGAACCTCAGCAGTGAAAAGTCATGACAAAACCCTGCAGTCAGGCCAATGATCCAGGAGACATCTGTGCTTCTGTATTAAACAACAACTTCCTGTCCCAGAGGCTCAGCCTACCTACCACACTGATCAGTGCTCAGGTCCCAGATCGACAAGGTTCCTTATCAATCGGTTCCCGATCAACAGATTCCCTATCAACAGGCAGCCAATTGCTTGGTATCAATCAGCAGGTTCCTAATCGACAGGTCCCAATCAATAGGCTCTCAGTGAAAAGGTTCCGGACTGACTGGTCAGATTGCAACAGATTGCAATCAATAGGTCCCTAGATTGACAGGTTACTAATCAACAGGCTCCTGATCGAGAGGGCTCTGATTGACAGGTTCCATATTCATAGGTTCTCTACTCACAGGCTCCCAATCATTGTTTTCTTGATTGACAGATTACTGATCAATGGATTCACGATCAACAGGTCCTGATGTTTAGAGGAAACATCTGTGCTGGATTTTATGAGTCCAGAGCTAAGGCGTCGCTAGCAGATGAACTGGTTCTAAAACTGATCAGGACATTTGATGAATCAGTGGGATCAATCAGTGTGACAGACAGGAAACAGAATAAACTGTATGACATCGCAGATATCTACCAAAATAAAACCAGTCTGAAACTGCTCTTTCAAAATAAAAGCCCCTCTGTTTGGAGGAGGCAGAGGCTACAAGCAGAGCAATGTGGGTGTGTGTTTGTGTGTGTTAGGAGTGGGTGCGAGGTGTCGGGATGACAGATGGTGCATGTGTGTTTATGTAATATGCGTGTTGTGTGATGCTGTTCAAATGTATCTCTTTCCTGTCTCAGAGGAAGCTCGGTCCGTCCATCTGTGTTTACATAATGAATGTGTGCCTCTGGTTGTGTGTGACATGTGTGTTTGCATGTAGTAAGTGAGTGTGTCCAGAGCGTGTGTGTGTGTGTGTGTGTGTGGCTCAGCAGCAGCAGTCTCCCTCTGTCTCTCTCTCAAACCACGGTGCTGACGGAGGGATCTGATAGGTTGAGCTGGCCAGTGATGTCAGTCGGGTACGGCTACAGGCAGAAGGACAAAAAGAGCAGAATGCACACATTAATTCCAGACACACACTTGTTGTCACCTGGACACAGTGAAACAGCCTCTGAGCCAAGATGGCGAAGGCTGTTTCAGAGCTGATCTTCTCACTTTAAACAAGAACAGTGAAATTCTGTATTTTCACCTCTAACATACTGAATCTACACTCAGTGGTCAGTTTATTAGGAATCCCTGTGTCAGACTGATCCAGTCAGACCCAACAGTGCTGCAGTACGTCCTTGTTCCTGAAGGTGATGATGTTCAGTCTGTGTCACAGATTGTTGGTTCACCTGTGTGTTCACTGTGCAGGCTGCAGGTTGTGCTGCTGTGACACTGAGCGCTGATATAAATGAGGCGGATGGATTTAAAGCTGGATGTTCCTTGTTTGTCAGCCTCTCTCTCTGAGGGTTTCAGTCTGCAGCTGCTAAAGTAAATATAATCTCTCATCATGTAATCTGAGCTCAGTTCAGCTGTGCCACAGGGAGCATCCGCCTGCATGAACAGCCGCCATACTGTTGGTTCATGTGGCTTCCATAAGTTAAATAAATGAGGATTGGCCCTGATTTTCTGAGCTTCCGTGTGGTTTTCCGCGGCTCCTTTTGGCTGGGTTTGTATTCTGCTGGTTTCAGATATGTCGTAAATCCTCCTGTCCTCCAGCCCATTGGTTGCCATAGCAACTGATGTGGTAATAATATGGCACCACATTCTCATTCAGCCAGTGGAAGTTTGAACAGAGTCAGCACTGCAGATGTGTTATATCTGATGGTTTCTCCCACCATTCAGACTGATGCAAAATCCTGAGCCTGTCCTGTCCTGAGCCTGTCAGACACAGGTCTCTGTGACTGGGAGAACTGGTGCTATATGGGTCCAGACTGGGCCATTCTGGGAACAACTCTGGTGCTTTGTTTGACAGCATACCATATAAACATAGTTCAGTCATGGTTTCATCATCTAAGAAATACTTCAATTACATGATCACAGACCATTTCACATGCGGTCATCATAGAAACAGACTTTCAAATCTCCTGATGACTCCAGTTTTACCATAGAAACCAGTTTTATAATTTGATTTCCATTCTTTGAGTGAACAAATGGTAACAAAGTTTTAAACTGCACTAGATGTAATATTAAAAAGGTTTTTAAAAGTCTTCAAGATCCCCTCCAGATGTGCAGACAGTGACAGATGAGAGGAGACTCTCGACTAACTGAGTGGAGACCCAACCAGCAGGGTCTCTGATCAATCAGCTGATCATCATCCTGATAATCTGATTGATCTGTTTGCCCCCAGAATGTCAGACACTGGGGAAAAGTCCCACTGTGACTCTCCAGAGCCAAAGGTGGCGTCTCCACGTCTCGTTGTGTCCAACCAGCAGATCCACAGAGACTCAGCTGATTCTCATGTCTGACAAAAAAAAGCATCAGCTCCTCACACTAAAGAAGGTGGAACCAGAACATGTTGGTGACTGTTGCTTCCAAATAGCTGCTGGTTCATTTTCTACCAGTGAAATAATCTACAGCAGAAATAAACACATTTACTCTCCTGTTTAAATTATATTGAGCGGGGGGGGGCCGTTTGGTGTGAGGGGAGGGGGTTCCCCGCCACTGGTGGCTAGTTTCATTAGCCCATTCAGCCCGCCATAGTGCCACTCACGCTCCGCGTCTTTGCCCACTTTTGGGTTGGATGTAGCAGGCGGGATGAAGAGCTACCAACATGGTGACGGCCAGACTTGAGCTTCACAACCGGTCTTCAGAAAACCTCAGGAGTCATTTAATTAATCAGATGAAAAGGCGTTTGACCATTACTGTCTATGAGACTTTAGGAAACCATGGCAGGTCGTCTTTGTGGAGACTGGATTCAGAGCTTTTCAAATGACGTTTGCAGCCAAGCTAAAGGAAGCTGTGAGTCCTGAGTGTTGCGGTGTTTTCTACAGGTCGGTCGTACTTGCAGAGGAGGACAGAGGCAGTGTGTGTGTAATACAGCATGTAGTCTGGACACCATTCAAATCCACTGAGAGAGGAAAAACACTCATATAGAAAATAAACAGATGATCACAAAGAGAAATGAGTCAAATGCCCCTCACTTCTTCTATTTATAAACAAGAAACCTGTGGTCAGTCACTGCTCCCCCTGCCTGTCACTGAACATTAAAACATCTTGTTCAGGAGTAATGAATCCTCTTTTCTGATTACAATGCTTTAATGTGATATAACACACAGTGTGTGTGAGTTTGATCCCTGAGAAAAGACACATTGTGCTTCCTGCACCATTTTGACTCCCTTCACACTGAAGCATGCAGCCGGTGATTTTGTATGTGTTTATTTTTCACAAATCCCATCCAGACATTAAAATGTGAGGCCCGTCTGTTTCCAACACAAAGCTTCAACACATTGTTCTGTGCAGCGAGGAGCTGGTGGAGCAACCAGAGCAGAGACTGGTGGCTCTGTGCACAGTGACACCGTTCTTGGCCTGAGGAGCTGAGTGGTGGAAACAGATGCCCCCCGTGTTCCCTGAGGAGGAAACCTGCCCCCCAGTGCAGCGGTGTGGCTGCTGGTGGACAACAGCAGAGGTCTATGGCACAGAGCGATGAGCTGGACCATGGTCTGGACTCACACACATTACGGTGAGGACACCACGTTCAGTGGTGCAGCTGGTCTCTGGACGGGGTTGGTGGGAATAACACAAACATCACAGGCTGCATGTTTTAAATAAACAGGATATGTGGAGGAAGATGGGATGCAAAATTGCCAGTTGCAGTGCGAAAAAAGCAACACAGGTCTTTATCACAGAATAGTTCAGATCTCAAAGAGGAGGCTGCAGCAGCACACACTTAAAAGCAGTCTTTAAAAAAAAAAAGGATTTCACAAGCTAAATGCAATGAACACACCCTGGATGAAGTAGCCTCAACCTTTGTAAAGATTATTTTTCTGTTTGAGGTGAAGGAAACTACCGCTCTGCAGATTTTAGCTCAAAATTGATTCCTCCAAAGTGACGCTGAAAAAGAAACAGTGAGGCAGGTGGCAGCCATGGACAGGTCAAACCCATCAGCACTGAGGACAGAAAAGCTCAGCAATTAGATTCTTAATGAAGAAATGGAGCAGGGAGTCCTGTGGGGAGAACAGACCTGTGACAAGAAGACATGTAGGCCCTGAAACATCACCGTCTGCGACAACTCCTAAGAGCTGTCACTGAAAGGAGACGAGTTAGAGGAGAAAATCAAGCCTCTGCTGCCAGCCTGTGAGGACGAGACTCAGACGTTAGCGGAAGGGCAGCAAGTACAGAAACTGGAAAGGTCTGTGCGACATTCTGAGGGTTGATGGTGACATGGAGGGACAGAGAGACGACAGGAGAGGACAGGGAGGAGGAAACACCAGAGACAGACAAAGACAAAGACCAGGACACAGAGATGAGGAATGAGAGGACAAAAGGCCCACAGGAGAAAAGAGACCACACAGTCTGACCCTCTTTGCTTCTCCTTTGCAAGAGGACAACCAGAGCGGTGACAAAATAAAACCCCTGAAAAACCCAAGTCTACAACACAAGCCCTGACCTGACTGGATGGACCGGGAGGTTTCTGTCTTCAATCTGTTTCCTGTCGTCTGTCTGTCTTTAGTGGGATAGTCGAGCCGATGGAGGTGGGATGATGGTGGACAGACAGATGGGCGGCCATGATGAGTCAGCGAGGAGATGACAGAGCTGGGGATGAGGAGAGGAGAGGATGAGAAGGACAAATGACAAACGGAAAAGCCGGTTCTGATGGAAGAAAGAAAATCTGTGATAAACGCCGAGCAGGAGGCAAAAGATGAAGAGGAAAGACAGAAATATGAAGCAAAAAGAGGAGGATGACAGGAGGACAGGAGTAGGAGGAGGAGGTGGTCTTCAGCTCCTTACCGTGGCGTCCCCGGAGGCCCTACGGCGTTTGAGGTCGGAGGTCGAAGTGATGGACCTAAAAGAGGTTTTCAGTTTGGGCTCGGGCTCTGCTCTACCACTTTTCCTATCCTAAAATAGATCATACGATAGGTGCACACACACATTAACACGCAGCGGTACTCACCAGTACACACTGATACTCACCAGTACACAGCTGCACTCACTAAACTGTATTCACTAATACATAGCTGGATTCACTGATACAGTACTCACTAATATTCACACGGTGAGTACACAGCTGTACTCCCTGACAACTACTCAGCTGTACCCACTGACACTCACTAATACACAGCTGTACTCACCCATATTCACTGATATTCAGTAATAGATAAGTGTCTGCACTCAACAATACTCACTAACACTCAGCTGTACTCACAGATACTCAGCTCTATTCATTTATACTCAGGTGTGATAGTAATACACAGCTGCATTCCCTGATGCTCAGTATTCACTAATATTCACTAAAAACACAGCAATACTCTTGATACTCACCAGTACTCGCTAGTGCTCACTATTACACAGCTATATTCAGTAATACTCACTATAAAACGTACAGCTATACTCACTAATACTCAACTGTATCCACCATTACTGAGCTGTGCTCCCTAACACTCAGCTGTACTCATTAATACTCGGCTGTACCCCCTTATCGCTGCTACAGAACCTCTGTGTGTATTAACAGGCCATCGGGACTGAGTATAGATGAGCTACATTATTAGTACACAGGTTTAATTTAGGATACACAGTATAGTAATAACATTGTGAATAGTATATTAAATGTAGTATAGTAATACTATACTATAGTACTATATAGTATATACTGTGTAGTACAGTAAATCATAATAAAATGCTGTTATATTAGCGTAATAAGAGCAATAGTGTATAGTTTAGGGTAGTGTAGTATTGTATAGTAATGGTATACTATACAACAGTGAGATAAAGCATGGCATAGCAGTGCATAGAGTAATAAAGTAATATATTAGTGCAGTATAGCTCAGTATGACAGAGTAAGGTATGATAGCAGTGCATAATGTTATAACAATAAAGTAGTACTGTATAATAGGATCAAGTGAGAAAGTCACTTTCAGCTTTTCCTGTTTAGGGGGTCGCCACAGTGAATCGTCACACTGACGACTTGTTTGTTGACATTTGACACATGTTTTACGCCGGATGCCCTTCCTGACGCAACCCTGATTCGAACCCAGGCTGCAGCGGTGACAGCGCTGTGCCTTCACCACTAGCCTACCAGGGACGGCACTGTATAACAGGACTAAGTATGATGCAGTATTGTATAGTGTAGCAAAGTACAGAATAGGAAGGTATGATAATAGAGTAGTATTGTACAGTATCTGAACTGTAAAGTGTAGTATAGTATCAAACAGTAAAGGCGCTGTGCTTAGCCTAATATAGCAGTAGTATAGCAGTGAAATTTAGTAGCAGTATAGGCTAGTACAACAGTATGATTTTTATATAGTATAGTGTAGATTAAGTACTGTATATACCTTTAGTAGTAGTTTAGTACTTATAGTAATATAATTACATACAGTACAGTCCAATGTAGTACAGTAACACCATAGAAGTAGTATAACAGAGGATAGTAATAAAATATGTATAGAGGATTTACTGGTGTGGGTTTTAATAAATACACAGTCCTGTTGCGTGTTTGTCTTGTTGTTGAATGCTGACTCATGCCATCTGTCCGGTGAAGCAGCAGGTTATATAACATAGTACACAGTACAGTACACAGTCTGTGTTTCTGCTCCACTGACCACATATGAACAAGTCGACCTGCCGTGCACACAGCGTACACAGTACACACCGAGTGTGTGTTGATGTGTGAGTCATGTCCATAGACTGTACGTAAACATGGACGACACACCACCACTATGTGAAAGTGAAGCCGAAATGTCATGAATATATTTTGCTTTTGCGATGCATTTTCCAACCAGAGGTGGCACCACACACACTGATGTGTTAACATCTACCAAAGAACACAGAAATCACCTCTGAGAAAAATGTATTTGATCTGTACTTGGAGTTTTTATTTTGGCTCGTCCCATCCACTAACATGCAGTGGGCGGGGTTTATGACCTAGCTGGCCACAAGGGAGCAATCGACCCTTAGCGGCTTCACCTTTGGGAACTGTCAGCCTGTCCATCTTTATGTACAGTCTATGGTCGTGTCCTGCAGACTGCTTCCTGTTTCAGATGAAGTGACGTCTCAGTAAAACAGCTGCACTCTGTTTTACCGCCCACAGCAGGTAAATCAACCACATGAGGCTCAAACACACAAACACAACATGAAATCAACCAAACACAGTGAAGGAAATACACCCTGGGGGAGTACAGGGGAGGGAGGGTGGAGACAAAGATGGCAGATGAGACAATGTTCAGCCTGAACACATAGGATCATTATACCAACACTATGCTGCTATAATGCCAAATCTGTGTTTATGTGTTGTAAACAGAAAACAGAGGGGGAGGGGCAGCAGCACATGGATGATGGTCACATGTTTGACCTCTAACATCAATCATATAAAGACATCATCAGTTTGACCTTTGACCCAGTGAACAGTTAGAGCTGGGTATCAGCACACTGCTGAGAGTTCAGAGCAGGACCTCGGTCACATCTTCAGCTTTTTGTTTCCAAACACACACTGATGACTTCGACTTGTCTTATTACTTTACAGGTAGTTTGTTTTCTTTTTTCTTTTTGGTGTTGTCATCAAACCCCATGTGCAGATCAAACTGTCAACACATCAACAGCATTGGTGGAAGAAGTACTCAGATCACTGAGTTAAAGTAGTTAAAGTAGAAATACCACAGTGGGACATCGCAGGGGAAACCGGGGCAGTGTGGTTTACATGGTTGTTGATACTGGGGCAGTTTGGGGACACTGTGAGTGAGACTGGAGAAACATGCAGTACTTTTGTACTTTACTGCGGAAATGTGTCTGGTGTAGACGATATGTCAAGCTTGGTTTGATCTGCACATGGGATCTGTTGATGAGAGGAAAACTGTAAAGGATCACCAGGAGTATGAGTCAGCGACACCCAGCTCTAGTTCAGATTCTGGAAACCTGTCAACACATTCAGTTTGAAATGGAAAATAAAATAAAACAATAAAGAATTCAGAGCATAGTCTCAGCCTGAGACCCAAACTGGGCATCAAACTGGTAACACTGGGATCCAAGAGGGCCCACAAACCTACTCTAAGGTCCAACCAGGATCTATGATATTCTCGTTGAAACATTCCTATGTCAAACATCACCAGTGAAAGACTTCAATCAGAGCATCAGTAACAGAACATCTCATGAAAAATAAAAATGACCTCAGCAGTGAGGTCCCAAAACACCAATCCTGTTCTTCACCCTGAACCTAAACTAACACCGATCAGCAGTAAAATGTCCTGAGAAATTGAGATCCGGAGCTGCTCTGCAGGTTTACACAAGGCTAACGATACCTGCTAGCTGTCAGCCTAGCTCTCTTTCACTTGCCTCCCTACTCTACTGGACTCTAGTCTGCTGCAGCCTCTCACATGCACAGACTACAAACTAAACAGTGTATCAAACTGAAGCTACAGCTGACACAGCAAAACACAAAGAAAAAGACTGCATGCCAACAAGCTTTTATCCTCCGTAGATACATACACCAGATGACGCATGAGCCACTTCTGTCTATTGCGGCACCATGTCACCATGTCCGCCATATTGCCAGGGGCGAGGCTGTGCCTCCTAATGCGTGTCTGTGTATGAGGACAGGGGGGTCTGTCCACACTAAATTCATCATAACTTGCTAAGTTTAAAGCTGATTTTCCAGCTGTTTGAGATGTATAAATGCTGATTTTCATATCAAAACACTTCACCTTTTGCAGATTGCAGCAAAATATTTCTATAATAATGAATGTACACTTCGTAATTATTAAAAAGTAACAATCCCACCGCCCCTCTACATTGTAAACTTGCTGCCCTAATACATAATTACAACAAACACAAGTTAAAAGGATAAATATATATTTTGGCAGGCTACACATTTCTCAGCATCCTTTCTCCTCGGTATCCATGTCTGTCTGACTTTTCTGAAACCTCTACACGTGTTGAGTATTTCTGTGCTTTCATAGCTAACGTTTCAGTACAGACAGAGGCTATGATATGTCATGTTAGCACCATGAAACAGTTTAAAGAAGACGGTTTAAGGCTACTTAATGCGACTACTGATAAAGTGACATGTCTGAATGATAAATATAATTTCCAGTATCTTACTGGTGTACTAGTTTTTAAAAACATCATTTTCTATTTCATCAGATCGTTAGCTAACAACTTAGTATCAGTCTCATTGTGTTAGCTTAAAATAAAGATTAGTTATTGTAAGAAATAAAGAAAGTCACTTTTGGCTTTTCCCATTTAGGAGTCGCCACAGCGAATCGTCACACTGACGACTCACATGTTGACATTTGGCACGTGTTTTATGCCGGATGCCCTTGCTGACGCAACCCTGACTCAAACCCGGGCCGCAGCGGCGAGAGCGCTGCGCCTTAACCACTAGCCTACCAGGGACGGCAGTAAACTTAGTTATTGTAATACATCAAATTCATTACACTTGTAAAAGTAAAATATTGTGACATGACATAACTTCTTAGATGTGAAATGTTACTCTGTTGTTTGGTTCTGTTAGTTTTTAGATTACAACATGCAAACGCAGCAGAATAGTGAGATGCTGTTTCCACTATTAAACGTGGCCAGAACAGCCAAATGCCCCTGGCAATATGGCGGCAGGTTAGACGCATCTCAGAAGCCTTGATGCAGCATCTAGTCTATATATCATATCTATGATTATCCTCAAGAAGAGTTACACTAACAGTAGCTAGCAAGATAACAGGTTTTAGCTCATAAATGATGTATGTGTACATTGTATTCTGGTGGTTTAAAGCTACTAAACCAATCAGCGACTGTCAGTTCAACAGCTGCAATGTTTTTATTAGTACACACGAAGTATGAAGCTGCAGTAACACATGCTGAGGACAAACAGTTTGGAGGGATGGGTTTTTGTCAGTTTGCTAACCAGAAACAGCCAGAAACACGTACACGTTAATGCACCTGTTGCCATCTTATTACCACCACCAAGGAGGTTATGTTTTTAATTGCTGTTTGTTGGTTTGTTGACAGTATAATTCAAAAAGTTCTGAATGGATTTTGATTACATTTTTTTGGAGCAGTGGGCAACAGTCCATTACATTTTGGTGGTGATCTGGATCATCATCCCAGTCAACCAGCTCTTTTAATGGCATTATGGGGAAACTGAGCTGCCTTGGGAGAGGTTTGCACCCTGTGTGCTGTCTAGCTTTAATTTACTTTAATGTTTGTTAGTTTTAGTCTTGACACAATTGATTTTTGTTAGTTTGCTGCAAAAAAACCTAAAGACCCTTTAGTCTCACATCATTTAAAAAAGACCTGAAGAAAGTATTGCAGCTTAGATAATAAGATTGTGCATTCACTTTTATTGGAAGCTTGGATCCCTAATGGTTGTGTTTTGTTTTGCATTTATTTTTCAGCATACTCAGATATTTAATTGCAGTGAGGTTTTGATGGACCCATGTTTTTTCAGACGTTGTCAGTTTTTGTTTTCTGGTCCTGGAGAAAAGAGATGTCAGTTATAGATTTTGTTAGGGTGATTTTTATTTTTAAGAACTTGCCTGACAATTTGTATAGATGACAGGAAAATTAAAACACTCCTAGACTTTTTCACTCAAACTTGATCTTTAACTGGTAATTGTGAGACACATATTACATTAATAGGAGCTACAAAAGTCATATTTACTTAAGAAAATTTCTCCAGTTTCAAGTTTGGCTTTCACCGCCCTAGTTAACGTTAGCCTAACTCTGGTCCAGTCTCGGCCAGGACAATGGGTGATCCGGTCTAGACTGTAAATCCACTAACTAACCGAGTTAGCGGAAGACATGTTGCTTCTCTATGTAATTTATTCCATTTGTTTGACTTTAGTTCTTGAGTTTTTGGTTCTGGAAAGGCGATTAAAAGGTTCTGACCCCCCACACTCAGCATTTACCACCAGAATATAATGTGTACATGCACATTTAATACAGTGACACAGGCCTGAGAGCAGGTTAAGGTTTCACCTGTATGTGATGATCTGTCTGGAAAGTGTGATTCAGTCTGGAAAGGGTTGCAGTCTTGTGTCAACAGATCTCCAAGAGCCGCTACTTTTCCCACGCTAGCTTCTCGCCTGAAGACACAGCTGCTTGAAGTGCTAATCATGCTCTGCTAACTGTTAGTGGCTAGTGTTTGAAGTGTTAATCCAGGCAGGGAAGTGATTATTATTAATGCGAGTCCAGCAGCTGACGAGGCGGGAAGACGTCTGGAACAAAGACTTCACAGCAGAAACGGTCTTTTACTGTAGAAGGGAGACAGCAGCTTCCTTCTTCTGAACTCTGGTTTATGTCATTTTTATAAGACGTGAAAACTCAAACATCTGGAACATCTATACATCTGCTATTAATAACCAGAGGAAAGAGTTTCCAGTCAGTCCAAGATCTGGACTGATCTGGTTCTTCTCTCTGATGCTGTAATGATCCTATGTGCCTTATTTGGATCAATAATAATGTTCACTGATGAAAGCAGTGAAATAAAAGTAAAAGTTGCATCTTTTAAGTCATCTGTTTGGCCTTTTCTACCTGTTATTACTATAATTTTATCAAATTCTGACATTTAGGTTTTATTGCCTATAGTTTTTTTAGATTTCTCATTAATAATTTGTGCTGTATATTACAAACATAATTTTTTTAAATGGACGTTTTAAATTCTGAATGCATGTATATTCATAACTTTGTGTGAAAGATCGGTTTATCCTGGTGAAAGGCAGCAGCAAGCCTTGAGCGTAAAGAGTAGCTTCACGTTAATCTACCTACAGGAAACTACTGAAACATCTGATGGATACCTGTGTCTAACACCTCTACCCTGTACACCACAGCATACAGCTCATTATTTACTGCTATGTTGACATCTCTATATATCACGTGTTTGCTCTAATTTTCTGCCGTTCACATACTAACACAGTGGAGTTGTAGTGCTTTCTCTGCAGAGCTGTTCGGCTGCTGTGATGCCCTTTGTTTCCCCCTCAGAGGACAATAAAGTGTGATTTGATGCTTTATGAGCTCTAAAGCTGCAGCTTTCACTTTAATGACATGCAGTTACTCTTCAAGGAGAAACAAGGTTATGTGGAGGCAGCCAACAGAGAGACAGTCCCGTGTGTCTGTAAAGGCTGCAGCTGAACTATGTCTGAAGCTACAGTATTTATGCTTCCCTGAGCATTAATGAGAATCAGGGTTGATGTCTAAAATAAAGAACATATTAACGATGAAATCAGCGTGCTACATAGCAGCCTGTCTGACTACAGATAACCAGTAGTTGCAAATTAATGTGAACTCTCTGAGCTCGCTCTGTCCAACAAACGTGCCGTGACAGGAGCTTCATGGAGGAGACAACCGACAGAATTCCCTGTGGACGCTAACAGCCCTGCAGCTCTACAGAGCAGCGGCATGTTTGTTGTCTCATCACGCTCCAGTGAGTGAGTGACTCTGATGTGGATCATGCTGACACATCTGAATCACAGTGTGGGGTAGAACATGGACTTTGAGACGGAACGTTAGACATTAATATTTCTGTCGCTGTGCTCCTCAGATCAAGCTGCTTTTACAAGCCAAACGAATGAGGAAACAATCAGAAGATTAATCGGCAGGGAACCTGAGTCTGCTGCTGCCATGACGGCCATGGTCACTGCTGAAATTAAATTTTATTTACAGTATTATCAAGTTTAAGACATGTTGTTATAGCTGCTCAGTACTGGGCTGTAACTGCAGTTTGCTGAGTGAATTTTACACTGCAGGGACTAACAGAGAGGTGACTTTGGTTGTGAATGTAACGCAGACGTGTCTGTCGGTCGGCCGGAGGCTCTGCTGAGGACAGGCCAGCAGGTCAGAGGATTTTATCCTATATTTACAGTTGAACTGCTGGATGGCGGCTTTGCTCTACAGATCAGACTCTATAGAAAGATAAAATGTCAGGCCAAACAGGTTGCACACACTCCAGACAGACCAACAGATCAGCATGATGCTTTTGTCTATCATCATCTTTTGTCTGCTGCCTTTTCTGTTTCACTGAATAAACACAAAGACTCTCTGACTTGTTTCTGTGTTTTGTTACAAGGCCATTCACAAGACTAAATTCTTGTCCCTTCACTGATTAAACAACATAAACTTGAACTATCTCTGCATCATTATTGGCGTGAAACCTTTAGCCCTTTCAACTAACCATAGCTATGAGCAGTAACGATGAGCTAACAAACACACTGCTCTGAAAGGCAATCTAACAGCATCACACAGATAACACGCCCAGTAGGCCCTTCCTCCATCAATAAATACAAACCAAATTACTTATCTTCATTTAATTCAAACAATTTCTCCCAGATAATAAAATCCAGCACAAAGAACATTTAAACAGCAGAACAGAAGAAAAGCAGAAAAAAGAGCTGAGCAGGTTAGAATTACTGCACACAGAAGGTCACAGCAGGTCACAGTAGAGTCATGTACCTGCAGGTTCTTCCTCCACACGTTCACAGCAGCAAAAGCCAGCTGCATCTGTTTCCTGCGCGCGTCTTTGTGTCGTTTGTAGGCAATCTCGATGAAAATGAGGAAGATTCCGGCAACAATGCCACCGGCAACCAACATGAACACACCTGAGGAGGACAGGTGATGTCAGGTGAAACCAGATCATACAACCAGATGGTTTTTAGTCCGCCTTTCTGTGTCTGGTCTGTTTCCTACCTGCCATGTTCTCAAAGGTGAGGGTAGCAGGGGCGTTGCTCCTGGAGTCACACTCCTGGTATCGAACCCAGGTCTTGTCCAGATCCTCCATGAAGCCGTTCTCATGAGAACTGAGGAGAGACAACGAAGCTCGTACACACACCGACTATGACCGAATTTACACCAGCAAGTCAGGGGTTAAATATGGAGCAGCGATGTTTGATCAGGATATGAGTCCAGAAGAAGCGAGCTATCAGCAGACTATGGGCAGAGCACGAGAGGGGCATCAGTAGGACATGATGTATCAGAAGGGTATCAAGAGAAAACCAGTAGGGTATCAGAGAGATACCAGAAGGGTATTGGCACTGGAATATAAACATGACAACAAAATGACATCAGGAAGGTATTAGGACAGAACAAGTGGGGTATCAGCAGAGTATTAGTAGGGTTTATGTAACATTAGTGGGGTATCAGAAACAGTAGGGCATCAGGGAAGTGGCATCAAACTGTTGGGTTGGGTATCAGGAGGGTGTTAGTGGGGTATTAGAAAGGTATCAGTAGATTATCAAAAAGGTATCTTCAGGGTTTTAGGGGAGTACTGGAGTAAATTTAGAAGGGTACCAGTAGAGTATAATTAGGGTACTATGGTTTATCATGAGAGCATCAGATGTTTATCCTTCATGAGTAAAGAGAATATCAGAAGGGTACCAGCAGCTAGTCGGGTATCAGACACATATCTACAGGGCGTCACATGTTTATCAGCTTGGTTTAATGAGGGTATCGGGGGCATGAGCTGGGAATCAGAAGGGGATCACGGAGTATAAGCAGTGGACCATTAGGGTTCCACTAAGTTATCATTAGGGTGTTGCTATCATTAGGGTGTTGTCGTACCTGAGAATAGCCAGAGAAACGTTCTGTTTCCACGGACTGTCTTTCCTCATTCCGATCCCGAACCCAGAGCGGAAGAAAAGTTCTCCCGTTGTCACCAGATCACACTTCTGTGACGCCTCAAACTCCAACACAGCGCTGTCCCAGATTAAGGCATGAAGCTTACTGCGGGGGGGGCAGACATCACATGACACTTGTGAGGTACAGAGTGCATTTTCTGGACTGTCATCCAGGTTTCCAAGCGTAGAAAGAGCCTACTTGTCTCGGACGGCCTGGATGGCCTCAGCGGCGCTCTCGTAGTTGTGTTTCTCCATGTGTCGGTACATGGTGCTCAGCTCCACCTGCCGTCTGAAGTAGATATCCACCGAGCTCTGCTTCACTGTGGCGTAGATGAACTTATCTGATGGGTTACGCAGCTAAGAACAAGGTAAAGCACAGGTCATAGGGTCAGACCGTGATCCAACACACTGGTGAGAGTTTGGGATAGGCCAAAGACAGTGTTATTCAGCATTTCAACTTCTTTGTGTTACATTTTTGTGACGTATTCACTTTCATGGACACTAACATCTCCTGTAAGGTCTGCTTCACCTCTGAGGCTCAGTTCACTTCACTCAAACCAAAGAAGACATGATGTGTTGTTATCTTTAAGTTCTGGTTCACACTGATGGATTATAAGCAAACAGAGGAGTAAAGATGAGGTCACATGACTGACAGGTAACTCAGATTTAGTGATGTCATCCTGCATCATCATCAGAGAAAGATCTGATTCTGACTCAGCGCAGGTCATTCTGCGTTTCAGTGCTTCCAGTGTGCACACTGATCTCTGGTGTCACATAGAGCTCACAGAGAAATAACGGATCACCAGCTCAATCAGCTCACACTCACATGGGACCTCTTAAATCACAAATCGTGACAAAAACATCAACAAAAAATGAACAAAAACATGAAGAGAGAGGCTACCTCTCAGTAAAACTACCCTTAAGGCTAGAGTTACCATTTTCCAGGGTTGTCTAAAAACAAAGGTCAGGTGTCCCTGTAATCATTCCTCCTGCTCACACAGGGCCCGACCCCCTCCACCTCACTACTGGCTGCAGGTCAGTGAAAGAACCACCAGATCAGGGATCCTAACAGAAACCCTCTCTCACCCTGGGGTCATTGATGCCAGTGATGCGCTCCTCAGGCCGGTCCAGCACCAGGAAGGCTGCCAGGTTGGCAGTATAAGAAGCTACAATGATCATGGCGAATCCTGCCCACACCATACCCAGAATTCTGGCTGAGAAACTCCTGGGAGCTCCTGCACACAGAGACCACAGACAGACAATGCTGATATGATGGCGGCAGGACACGTTTTATTAACCTTTATTTTACCCGGAAAAACAAAACTTGTTGAGATTAAGATGCCTTTGCAAGAGTGTCCTGACCAAAACAGGCAACAACAAAGTTTCAGACAAACAACATAAATACAACAAGTACTACAGATCATTTCTTCACACCCTCCCTTCAGTCAGTACTAATAATGAATAGTTCTCTTTTTACAGACAGTTCATGCACAGAAGCAGCACACGGGAAAGCAACAAGATGCTCTGTGAATGAAAAGCACCTTTCCTTTTCATGTAAACACATAAGTATGCAGATCATCATCCAAGAAGAGCTGGGTACATTAAGTAAAGGCAGAGGAGGCATCTTACAGATCAGGGAGGACCAACCAGTCCACGGAGTCCTCACCTTCTCCTATCCCAGAGTTCAGCAGTACTCCCCATGAGAACCACATGGCTGAGGATAGGGTCAGGGCGTCTTCTTCTTCTTCTTCGCTGTTCACTTTAAACCTTCCAAACGGGCTGTACAGGTTACACACGGGGACAATAGTACTCAAAACCTTTATGGGAGTAACAGTACCAATTCAATAGTAAAAATACTCCCCTACAAGGACGAGCCCTGTATTTAAACTGTACTTAATTAAAAATATATATACACATTATCAACAAAATGTGCTTAAAGTCTGACAAATAAAAGCACTTAGTCTCTGTGACTGACAGCGGATTATATTTTAGCCTATATTACATAATTAGACCATTAAAATGAATGCATCAGTGTATGCCACGTATTTAGAGGCACTGCTAACAACTGTAAGAAAGGTGTCCAAGTAGACAAATGGAAAAGTAACAATGGCTGTCAGATGGTACTGTAGTCTTACCTCTGTCGTGTACTGTATTACACTGTGTTTGAGTGGGGGTCCTGCGATAAGACCTTGTCTTCATAAGAAAACTGATTTTTACTTTGTTTATGACATGCACATGTTATTTCTGAGCTGTGCACTGATGTCAGCGTAACAAACACATCAATAAAAGTAGAAATAAATGATCTCATCTGTAGTGTTGTTCTTGTACTGTGTTATATTATGCGCTCACCTGAACCGGTCTAATAGGTAAAGCATCACTGCCACCACATGGACCGACAGACCAACCAACAGCCACAGTGTGCTCTGGAACGGCTGCATGAACGAATCCAGAGTGCTGCGAGGGATTTCCTGAGCACACAACCAGCACACACACTGTCAGCGCAAACACATCGCCACTGTTTACCACCATAAAGCATTGAATCCACAACCACTGGCTGTTACTGTTACTTATTAAACAATCAGCTGGTTCTTTGTCCTGTCGACAAAAAACAAAAATCTGTGAAATACAACAGCTAAAAATAAATATATGATCTGTGGCGCTCCCTTCAAAAGTCAAACCACTGCTGCATCCTTCCTCCCATCTGACCCAGAGTAACTGTGGAGCTATAGAACAAGCATGGCATCCTGATCAGTGGAGGGTCCAGATGGGAACCTGGATCAGACCTGATGGTGCTCCATGGAAACTATCAACCTCCTTCCTGCCACTGTGAACTGGGTCAGTTTGAATAAAATATCCCTAACCATCCTTCAGAGCAGCGTGACGGCCTGAACAGAGGCCAAGCAGCTGCCGCACCAAGGCTGTTCAGCCTGCCGCACCACGGCTGTTCAGTCTTTCACACGGAGACCAGCAGCTGCCTCAGTTATGTACCGGAGACAAATTCCTTGTGTTTGTGACATACTGGGCCGGTTTTAATCAGTAAAATCTTATAGAACACAATATTGAACATACAGTATGTAACGGTACGACTCAAACATCCTTCAGTCCTACAAGCACAATGAGAAGTAGGACCTGGGGTAGAAACCCCACAGAGAAACAACAGTGAGTGGTCACTGGCACAAACTCAAACAGAATAAAATGCTGCCATGGTCCACTCGCTTTGACCGAACATGTGTGAACAGCACAGTTTTCAGTAGAAGTGGGTGTGTGCTCACCTTCTTGACGAGGATGGTGAGCCCCTGGTATTTGAAGGGCTTGGAGAACTCAATGTACTGAGCGCGCTCATTGTTGATGGTGAGGGGGGCCACGATCATGTCGGCCAGGCCCCCCAGCAGCTCCCCCATCATCCCGTTCCACTCCTTCTTGTTACTGTTGTTCACCTGCAGGAGGAGGGGAGATCCCACTGGGTCCCACTTTGTTTCTCTAATACAGTGATACTGGTGACAGGAGAGCGTCACACATGCACGGACACAACCACTCCAGACAAACGCATGGAGGGTCCCATTCTGAAAACCAGTACCACAGACCGCAGCTAATCTCTGGCCACAGCAATCTAATTTCTCCAACTATCAAACATCTGAAAGGTTCAGCCGGTCTACACACACAGAAGGTTAGGGTTAGGGCACAAAGCTAGCGTGCACTGTATGTCGATGAGCACATAACAAGTCAATCAAGAAAAGCACAGCAACTCCACACAGTATGAGATTAGAATCCAACATGCATAATGGCACCAGCCAAAGTGTTACCAGATGCAGATTAGAGTACATGTGCATTTTCCAATGTAGATTTAAATCCCTAACTCTGTAACAAAAAGAAGCCCAATGGAAGTTCGTCCTACGGGCTTTGCACTCAGCAAAGTCACTACCACCGCTGCTCAAATCCAGATCTCTGGCTCTTTCCTCTCTACTTTTTGGGCTCTCTAAACATTATGCTGCTAACTGTTTGCTGAAGAACACTCGCTTCTTGATGAAAAGTTGGCTGAACCACTGAGAAAACAACTGGCGTCATGACGATCACACAAATTAACACAAATGACAGGGAGTAAGGTCACTGGACAAAAAAATCTGCATTTCCCAGCAGGCCTTGTTCCTTCGTAGGTTTTGGGAAGAAAGAAACCAAATCAAATAGGTGGTGGATAGAAATAATACTAATCTGCAAAAAGAACCTTATTTTAAATAAAATGTATGGTTTGGGAGCATTACATCAGGACAACAATTAAAAAACACATTAAAAACAGGCTGACTCAAAACCATGAGTATTATACACAAGGTGACAAGGTGGTATAATGGCTGTCAGAACCACCTGTTCAGGTCTTATTGATGATTGCATCATAAAATAAATAAGCAGAGAGGGCCTCCTGCGTAATGAGAGCAGCCACTGAAACCCTTCACACATGGGACCTCGAGACACCACGGGCCCCGTCGATAGCCACGCCACCGCTCTGCAGCTCACGAGCTACTTCCTCCGCTGTCAAACATGACATGGGACACGAGGCTCAGGTTGTACTGATGGCACCTCTGTAACTTGGTTCAGTGTCTCTAAATCTGGCCACGCAGTTCTAAACAGTCTCCTTTCAACAAAGGCTGCAGTCAAAAGGGTTGTAGAACAAGCACCTTGTTAAAAAGGTTCCTCGAACCCTCTGGTGTGAGTCGTCATAGTGACCAAGTCTGGGTGTAGTGTCAACATCGCTCTGCTGTTACAGGCCCTTTGCACCGATCTTTTATCTGTGCATGATTTTCTTTTATTAGCATTTCAAGGATCAGATCTTTTATCTGTCAGGAAGATAAAAGCTGATTTAGACCATGAATAAATCTAAAGACAGACAAGAGGAGGTGGAGGAGCAGGAGGAGGCGTTAGAGTAGAGCAGACAAACTGAGGAGAGGGAGTGTAACGTCTAAATGTCTCTGGGCCTCAACAAGGTCAGAGACAGGGACAGAGCGGTGGTCTCCATGGCAACAAGCCTCAGTGAGGTACTGGTCCTGAATTGGTAAATGGGTCTCTGAGAGTCCCAGAGACATGGGACTGCACTAACAGTCTGGGACGTGATGCTGTAGTAACAATGAAATTGATTTCTACCCGTAGTCAATAACAGAGACAATACAGTGATAGATGATTAAAGGGGGGTTACGTCAGCGAGTGGCACCAGCAGAGTGTGGCCCATATTAGAAACACAGTCAGTCACAGAGGGAGCGGCCTGATGAAAACCAAAGTGAGAACAGCCTCATAGCAACGAGTTGAAAACACTGATGCCATCAGTTAATACATGTGGCGCAGTAGACATTGAGTACAACAGTGCAGTACTATTCTTTCTGGCCATGTGGGTTCTTTGAAGAGATGCACGCAGGCTCTGTCACCATCTCATTGTAGAACCAGATCCAGTCTGGTCCCAGTGCGAGGACCAGCAATGGAACAGGTTAGAAACACAAAACAACACAACATCAGGCTTTTTGCAGTGTGAAACGGTGGAGGCTGAAGTGGCATCTTTCTGAGCCGACCAGTTTGACTAAGCTTACTGCCCCTGAGTTAACTGGTCGATTAGAGCCTGTCACATAAATCACTTTCTTCAGCCGTGTCGCTACACCCAGGGTGATGCAGAGCAACAGCTGTAAACTCCACACAGCGAACCACAACGTGTGCTGGAACAAAAGGGAGGCAGGGCAGCTTTGTTTATTATTCATTATCATGGGACAGTGCACAGGAATCATCACTGACGTTAGCAGCGTCTTTGTGAATGTGCCGGGGTTAGCTCGGCAGCTAACGGTCTCACGCAGAGGACCGACACACCTACACACAACCTGGGCTGTGGGAGGTGCATGGGGACATGCAAACTCCACAAACATGTGCATCCTAATAATCTGTCCTCATAAACATGGAATGGATGAGGGGTATTTTTCAGCCCTGGGTCACGACTGCAGACCCGTCTCTCAGGCTGGAAAAACACAGGGCCAAACGTAGCTTTGCAGAGAGACAAAATGGACCTGACGTTGACAGATGCAGTGTGGTGACAACACCTGGTCATAGAAACACTCACTCGCTCCTGCGTGCCAAATTTCCCATCAGCCACCAGATGAACCTCGTAGGTGAAGTTCATACTCATCGCCAACTTGATGAGCAGGTCGATGCAGAAACCATAGCAACACTGAGGGACGATGGGCTGACCTAGAGACACACAAACAAACAAACAAACACAAACTGGGAATCAGCGGATTGTGCAGGGGCTTGGATAACTATCTTTGTGAGGACATTTGTACACTGTGAGGGCATTGTCTTGGCGTCATTAGGGATGGCATTTCAAGCTAAAATACAGTCTGAGACTCGCTGGGAACCATTCAACAATTATTTGTGTACCTGGTATGGTCCCATTGGGTCCGGTACAGATCACCTTCTTGATTAAGACTCCATTAACGTTGTACTCCTCTTTACATGTTCCATCACTCTTCGTTGGCTTCACATAAACGAATGGCTCCTGGTGGATCGTCACAATCTAAACACACACACACACACACACACACCACTGTTTAGACAAAGGGTGAAGATGTACTGAAAGCAACCAGATCACACATCAGCACCTCGCCGCTTCTTGCTCGTCGCTGTGGGTGTGTTCAGTGCTCACAAGCAGATTGTAGACTTGTAGACATTTGTAACGCTGTGATTTATGTAAAGAAATTCACCATTTACAAGTATAATCATCATGTCTTTAAGATTAAGGTTACAATCTACAAAATGCAGTTTCAGTAAATGCAGACCAGTTTTAACAGCCAGCATATTTTCTGTTGGCACCAGAAACAGACTGAGACACAGTCCTCTGCTCCATGAAACCTGTTTCACTTCGGTACATCTCCATGAATTCCTCTTTCCTCTGAGCTGTGCGCCAACAAAGGAACAACCACCAGCTGCTATAAATGCTGCTACATTTCATCAATGTTTTTCATTTTCATCAAATACTTCACAAATGTTTGGGGGAATTTTTTTAGATGTTTTGTTGGTTAATTTACTAGCTTGTTGTTGGATATCTAAATTTAACACCTTTTTTTGGATTATTTATTAATATCTGTCTGAAATATTTGTGATATTTTTTCTGTTGATTTACTTAAGTTTATCAGGTGTTTTACTAATATTGTAGGAGATTTTACTGGTACAGTGCTGGCAGTAGTGTTAGTAGTAGTAGTAGCAGGAGCAGCAGTAGTACCTTGAGTTTGGTGGACATCTGGTATCCCACTGGCTTCTCGGTCTCTCCTCCAGGCCAGATAATCTTCCTCTGAGGGTTCATCAGAACCTGAAACAAAGAACATTTGTTGTACTGTTCGGGCCAGTCTCACTGTGACAACTTGACTAACGACTGCATCAATACTGCATCTGCACATACATATTTAACGAGACATGAGAAAACACACACACAAGGCGTTTCTGCTGCAGAACAAGCCAAACACTTGCTGGAGTGACTACAACACACAGCATACAAGATGTAATATTTCTTAGTGTAGTTCAGCAGATGAAGCCGTGTTTTTTGCATGTGGAGGTGCGGCTATGTTTATTTGTGCTTTAAAATGTAACCGCAGTGAAACAATTGGAAAATAACCATTTGTTTTTCTCTGATTCACTTCTTTGACATTGTGGATCATGAATTACTTCCAGATAGAATGGAAAACTGGGTCGGACACTCGGGAACCGTCCTCAGGTGGCTCAGATCATATCAGGGGATACATAGTCAGTATCAGCAATTATGAATCTGAAAGAACCACCATGAAGTATGGTGCCCCACAAGGACCGGTTCTTGTACCCCTCCTATTCAACCTGTACATGCTTCCACTTTTTCGAATGTCCCAGGAATGTAGTGTTGCTTATCACAGCTATGCAGACGACACCTAATATACTTCAGGCTCTCACCAAATGACTGTAGTCCTGTAGACATATTGTCTCTATGTCTCGAAAAAGTGAACAACTGGATGGAACAAAGTTTCCTTCAAAAAACCAAAGACAAAATGGAGATAATTATTTTTGGGAATAAAGAAAGAAGGCTGGCGGTCAGTGACTACCTTAAGTCCAGGACACTATAACACCTGTGTCAGAATCTTGGTGTAATCATTGATGAGGAGCTAAACGTCAATGGCCACGTAAAAGCTGTAACAAAATCATCATTCCAACATCTTAAAAACGGTCACAGTGACAAACTTTGTCTAAGCAGGATTTAAAAAAGCTCACTCATGCCTTTGTTTCTAGTATGGCAGACTACTGTGATGCAGTGACTGGCCTCCCCAACAAGACCATCAGACAACTACTCATTAAAAATGTTGCTGCACTGACAGTCACCAGGAAAAAAACAACACATTGCTCCTCTACTCAAAAAGCCTACTCTTGACCCAGGTGTCCTAGCTAATTATAGACTAATATCCAATCTCCCCTTTATTTCTAAAATCCCCGATACAGCTGTTGCAAAGCAGTTATGTGACCACTTGCACAAGAATGATTTGTTTGAGGATTTTCATTCAGGTTTTAGAGTCCATCATAGTACAGAAACTGCATTGGTGAAAGTCACCAATGATTTTCTCCTAGCCTCAGATAAAGGACTTGTCTCCATACTTGTCCTCTTAGATCTCAGTGCTGCTTTTGACACCACTGATCACAGCATCTTACTGCAGAGACTTGAACATGTTATTGGGATTAAAGGAACTGCGCTAAGTTGGTTCAAATCTTATTTATCAGAAAGATTTCAATTTGTTCATGTTAATGACAAATGTTCCACACAAACTGAAGTTAGTCACG